CCCTACACTGACTTCAGACTATCTGCAGTCAGTGCTATTTGTTTGGATTTGAAATTTCTATTGCTGAGGGCTCTCACTGCCCTTATATTTGCCAGAAAATCTAAAACGGAATTAGAAATGAGTCCTCTTGCTTTTTCCTTTCCTTTTGTCCTAAATGTTTGTTTCTGGTGATAATTTCAACCTAAATATAGCTGAAGTGTTTCACCGTGCTGTTTGTCTCAGGAGGCACTTAATTAGGAAACGCTGGGAATTCAGCTATTTGGTTTCAGATCACTTTCCTTTTTTGAATATTTTTAGTTGTGGCATTGGGAGTGGAGGGAAGCATTTGTATTGGACTATTAATATATTTTACTAGAGTAAATCTAGCAAGATTAAATCAGATTAAACCAGATAAAATATCCATGTGATGTACCCTTTAAATAATGCACCCACATGGATGTGCACAAAAGACCTCTGTCTGGGAGAGCTGAGTTGTTGGAGAGGTTTATTGAGATGAATGGTATAAATAAAATGTGTGTAAGCAGTTGTAGGGCAAGGAAGCGCCTGTGAGGAGAGGTTCAATTTAATTAGGAGTCAAGGTGCTTTTAGCCTGCTACCTGAAGAGGCTTGTTACACAAATTGGTGTTTGTTATAATGACTGAAGAGTGTCTGAAGCCTGGTAATCTTCCCTCTCCTCATTAGCTGATTCCATCCATTCAACCTCGTTTGCTGAAAGGATGAGACAAGCGTGGGCAGATCAGTTCACATTTTGTGGCAGTGCCTTGGGCTGCCAAAAGGCTGTTCTTGCTAGCCTGCTGGTGATTGTGGTAGCCACATACCCCACCCTGCATGTGCATTTGCAGGGGGCTAGCCACACCAGGGCCTTGGAGCCACTGACTGAGGCAAGGCGTATGTTGTAATGGATTTACTAAACAATGCAACAAAATGCTGAAATAGATAAGAAGGGGAAGGGGTATGGGCCTGGGAATTATGACTGCTAAGAGCCAAGGCGCTCAACTGCAATGGGGAGCAGGGAGGATTCTGCCTGGCTGTTCTTCGATCAGTAACTTGCCAGGGAATTTCAAGTGAGAGAGGAGGAGAGCACACTTCTTTTTCCATCGCTTGACTCCAAGGCAGCCCTGTGGACTTCGCATGTTCTGCAGCTTTCCCCAGACTGTGGGCACCAGGATACTGCTTTGTCTGCTCCATGCACAGCATTTAACAAACATTAATGGTATACTTTGTTGGTAACAAAGCAAATGATAGCATCCTGTTGTGAGCTGGTGTGGTCTGCCCCATCCTCCTCCCACACACAACAAAGCAAAAGCGACCTCCATCCTCGAGATGAGGGGCACTGGCAAAATGGTAGTAAGCAGAAAAGAAAGGTGTAGGTTGGACATCAGGGTGAGTTTCCTGAATGTGAGATGTGGTGAGCCCTGTCGCCTTGAAAACTGCCAGCAAGGTACAGTCCTGCCCTGCCCTGCTGAAGATAGGAAAAAAAGGAGCCAGTAAGCCTCTATTTTCAAAAGCTCTGTGGCACTGGGTCAGCTGTAGATTTGCTGAGCTGCTGCGGTGGGCTGTGGGCAGCATTACAATCTGCTGAGGGGAATCTTTGACTTCTCCCATTGTCCTATACTGGATGATCTCATGAGGTCCCTTCCAGCCCTAAACTTTCTGTAAATCTTCCCTTTCATCTGTGTTGTCTGTGTGTTTTGGCAAAACATGCCATAGGTGAGGATGTAAACATGCAAACTCTTACATATTACACATCAGTGATGAGGTTTGTCTCTTGTCACCTTGTTTTTTGGGTCAGTCCCTTTTGCTCCTAGAGCTTCTAGTTCACCTCCCCCCTCATGCACCTCTTGCCTGCCCTGTACGATTTGCTGTTGGGCTGCGAGTGCACAGATATGCTGCGATGGTGAATCTAGCAAGGTGCTCTGAACCAGGAACAACTCTTTTATTTCTTGTGACCGTTTCTCTACTAGCTGAGCTGCAGGGCTGGGGAGCAGGCTTTGCAGCCTCCTAGCCACTCACCCCATTTCTCTATTTTGGGCTGCTGCTTGACTTGGGGAGCATCAGGGCTGAATCTGTGAGCTGATTCTTGATGGCTTTACTTTAGATACTGGATCACAAGCACTCTTGACAACACCACAGACCTCCCCCCTTGTATGATCAGTCATCTGCTCTTGTTGCTCAGTTGGTTTAGGTTATAAAACTCCATGAGTCTTTGCTCTATATCTATGAAGCCCCATCCACCCTGCTGATACTGTATAATCTCCCATTGCATGTCACTTGGGCCAAGATTTTCTTAGCTTCTCCAGCAGATCCTTAATATTAATGAACTCAGCATGTCTGCCCTGCCCTGCTCCTGTTATAAGGTGTGGTGGCCCTATCTCTCTGCCTAGAGAGAGGGGTGTGTTAGGTCAGCAGAATTATACTCAAAGCAAACCCCGGGATAATTTTAATATGCGATACTT